TTTTAAAAAAACTTTTATAATCACGATAAACAGGCATGGAACAAGGGGATCTAAAGTGTGTTTTAGTATTTCAGATTTAGTTGTCAACAGGAAAAAGTTGCAGAAATCAAACAAAAAGAATGAATACACTCACACATTCTAGAGCTTTGTAAAGTCAAAAAAAAAAAAAATCACATTAATCAATGATTAGTTTGCAGGTTGACACAAAGTAACTTTCTTTGTAGTTCTTTTACTACATGGTAAAAATCAGTCAAGGTTTGCGGGCATTCACCATTCATTTTGGAAAAAAAATTCTTTTTTTCCTTTTCATTCCACTTCAGCAAAACTAAAGTATATGTCTCTTTTCTTTCCCCAGGGGCAGCCGCCTCACAGACGTAAGTATTATGCTGATTATCTTCAAATGGGCCCTAATCCCAAAAGTCTGCCTCTGCCCAGAGAGCACTGTCAGACGAAACCGCACCCATTGCCCTCCGCCCCCTGATCTGGTACTTTGTTCACTGAGCGGTTTTGCAGTGCAAAAACTTCACAGTATTCTATGGTATCCGCATTTATCTTGAAGTCCTTTAAACATTCATGGATAAATGACATGCTCCGTGTCGCTTGCTGTCCCTGACCGGAAGCGTGTGCGCACAGAGGAGGAACACAGATTCCAGTGCTGGCCTTGTTGTAACGTAGAGAAGAATTCCAGGTTTCGTTTTATTAAGAAGTGCAGTCATTTGAGAGTCTTTTGACAGGTTCCTGGCTTTACCACCCCTCGCTTCAACTTCTTAGTCAGACTTAGCTTCACTCACCCCAACCCCAGCAAGTGGCAGGAGGAGACTGGGCCCCCCAGTGTGGGGAAGGGGCCCTGGGGCTGAGCTTCTGCATGTTTGTGAACGGATTTCTTCCTCTCTTTCTTTCTCTCTCTTTCTATCCTAAAGTGAATGCTCCCAGCTTACATAGGGATGTGTGCCAATCATTTATTTATTTATCTACTTTTGCTTTGTAACTTGAAAACAAAACTGAAAACGCGGACGAGCCGCTGGGCTGGTCCAGAAAGGCCCGTTGCACCGCCCGCTGTAGCTGAAATCCTCTCTATTTAGCAGCAAACAGACAAACAACAACGCCACAGTCGTACAAAACAAAATGCACACGTGAAGTTCTCTGACCCAACTGTGAGCTCATTGAGGTCGGGGACCCCACCGGGCACCCGGCACTTGGCACGTGACAGGCGCTCAGTGTTTGCAGTGTGGACCGTTCAGCCACTTTACTGGTTCCATAGGCTTTGTAAACCAGCCCAAGAACCTTGCCGCCATTTCTGCTGAATTAATGTTACTAACGTGTTCTGAGATCCAGTATGAAGCCTGCCTTCCTTTTGGTCCAGCTCTGTTGGCAAGGCAGGCCTCCCTCCTTTCTGTGTGCCTCAGGGCAGCAAGGAGGAAGATTCTGTGTTTATCTCAGTAGAGGGGGAGTGGAGGGCCCCTTAGCAGGTGCCTTTAAGGGCATCTAAAATCACAATGCGCATTTCCACAGCGGGCAATAATTGATGGCAGGGGTGTTTACATAGATGTAGAGAGAACACACCAGCCGTTTTTCTCCTTCATTTTGTGGAGATGTCTGTCTGGGCTGCAGACTGCAGCGTGATGTGGAACCCTGGTGCTGAGACCTATTTCCTGAGAGCGATAGCTGAGCAGGGAATCCCAGTAGGCCGCTGAAGTAAAGTGGGCTACAGGGTCATCGTCTCTCTGTCGGGCGGGCCGATGGAGGGAAGCGCTTTACGAGGCAGGCACTGAGCGATGTCGCCAATCACCGTCTCCTCTTTCCCCTCTAGATCTCCATATGTCGGGAGATGCCCAGCCTGGAAGTGATCACTCTCAGGTACTGAATGTCTGGCCTGTCTCTCTTCAGGCTTGGTGGTTTGAAAGCAGAAGGAGAACCTTCACTGCCTCCTGCGGGACCGAATAACGTTAGATAAAAGTCCGAGAGGGGAGGATGGGCGGCCGGCAGAGGCCGGTCGCTCCTGCAGCTCCACACCCTGGCCCCTGCCCTCCTGTCCGGAGGCGTCCCCAGGCCTCGGTGGGTGAGGCTTCTCTGCCCTCCTGGTTCCATAACTGCCCGTCTTTCCACAAGGCTGGGGAGGGAGCTCTGCCAGCTTCTCTCTGTCCTGTCATCTGCCACGGATGGCAGCCGCCTCCTCCAGGGCCCTGGCATCTTAACAGAAAGGAAACCCTGAATGAAATATATACTGTCACTGGAATTTAAAGCAACTGGGGAGTACTTGGGAGCCCTGGTGGCGCAGTGGTTAAAGCACTTGGCTGCTAACCAAAAGGTTGGTGGTTGGAACCCACCAGCCACTCCACAGGAGAAAGATGTGGCAGTCTGCTTCCGCAAAGATGTACAGCCTTGGAAACCCTATGGGGCAGTTCTACTCTGTCCTGTAGGGTCATTATGAGTTGGAATCGACTCAACGGCAGTGTGTTTGGTTTTGAGGAGTGCTTGGGTCGAAGAAAGGAAGAATAGTCTGTGTCCTTGAATGCCTTCCTGGTTACACAGCTGCCGCCTTTGGAACCGGGAGAGGGAGCGCACGTGGGTGGACCTCCGCCTGAAGTTGCCTGCTTTTACCCGTTGCCGTCAGGTTGACTCTGACGCCTGCAGCCCCACCCGTGTCAGAGCGGAAGTGTGCTCCGTAAGATTTCAGTGGCTGATTTTTCAGAAGTAGCTCAGGGCTTTCTTCCAAAGTGCCTCCGGGTGGACTTGAACCAGCAACCTTTTTGGTTAACAGCTGAGCTTGTTAGCTGTTTTCACCCGAGCACCACGTCTAAATCCTCACCAGGATTTAAACCCTGCAGGAAGGCAGGACTCTCCCTGCCATTTGGCCATTCGGAAAGGTTCCAGAACTGGCCCTCTGGGTATGGCAGTCATGGAGCCTTGGCCCCCTTGCTGACTCCTGTGACCTGTCTTCCTGGTCACCACGGCCAGGCACTGGCTGGGCTGACCCTCCTCGTGCTCCCATGCACCTGTGGCCCGTCTCAGGGACTCCTGGCTCCGTTTCCTGGCTGTGTCTCATAGAGCCGTCTGCTTGGTTTCCGTGGCGCCCTCTGCAGTCAGGAGTGACGGACAGGTTTGTGTTGGCTTGTTTAGCGCCTGTGTCCACCCTGCTGTCCGTCACATCCACTCCGGGCACACAGCACCCCCACCTCTGGCCCAGCACCGCCCTGTCAGCCATGCTTCTGGGTCGAACCCCATCCCTCCCCCTGTCGGCTGCCCACGCATGGGCAAGAGCTGGAACTTCCCTGCGCCTCAGCTTTCTTATCTGTCACCTGGAGGAAACGGCAGTGCCCAGCCCGTCGGGGTCCTGAGGGGGTAGCTGGCGCGTGCACGCACGTGAGCTGTCAGTAGTTGCACTTAATTGTTTGTCTTGTGATTGTCAACAAAGCTGGAACCTGAGCCAGCAAGGCCGCAGAAAGCCTGCCTGACACACTGTGTAGCCCTTGGTTCCCCCAGAATAGCATGCAGCGTGGCATCGGGGTGTGGGTGTGCACCCTGTCCCTGTCGTGCATGTCTGAGTGATTAGGGCACGTGGCTGGGCCTCCTGGAGCTCCAGGCTCCTTGTGAGTGCTGGGACTTGTCAGAGTAAGGACAGGATGCAGAAGGCTGTCAGCCACACGCACCAGGACGGTGGCATTGGGCCAGCCCATGTGGGACAGGCTGTGCTGAGGTTTGGGTGGCCGCCCTTCAGTGGGATGAAGTCGTTTCGCTTGGTTCCTGGTTCCCCATGGATGCAGATGCCATGTCAGTACAGGGCCAGGAGGGCAGCTCTGGGTCAGGCCACCGTTTGAATCCTCTGGTTAGCACTGACCACTTGTGCCGTGGGTTGGTAGGTTCCTTAACTGAGAGCCTGAGATTTGCTCCTGGGAAGGTGCATCAGCCTCACGCCTGATGCTAAATGAAATGATCCAGTGAAATAGCCCAGCGCCATTGAATAGCACATCGCCCGGCCCCCAGTAACTACATCATTAGGTGAGTGTTCATTCTGGTGGTGACATCCCTGAGGGAGGATTGCACCCTTCAAGGTACATGCCAAACCCAAATATCACCCTCTGGAAAGAATGTTCCGGATAGGTCTAGCCATCAGGCAATGTCTCAGTCCATGTCCCACACGGTAACCTGATTCTCACCTGCTAGCTCTGCGTGGAGCAGCAGCGTCCCCCGAGCTGGAAAGAGGTGTACCCCAGTCTTGTGATATTCTCTTGGGGCTCAGCAGGCGAGGCTCTCAGGCAGTGCTCCCTGGCGTTGGGCAGCCCAGCCTTATCCACAGAGAACATTCAGCCGCCTGGGAGCCAAGCACCTGCCCGTTGGCGGCCCTGGGGGCTGACCCGTCGTACCAGTGCAGCCCTTAGCGTCTCTGCCTGGATGCCTTCTTGTGCGTGTCTGTTTCTTCAACTTGTTCAGTTTCTGTGGAACCAAATTTAAACCCGTATCCTTTGTTTATTTTAAAGGAGGGGTTTCTGAAGCTCAGTGCTCTGTGTCTGTAGCATAGGGCTTCCTTATGTTGCTTGCCATGTGTTCTTCTGGTCTGTTTGAGGCAAAGTGATTTGTCTGCCCTTCAGAGGCCTTGGTTTCCTCACCTGTAAGGAGGGTAAAACACCCACCTCCCATGTTAATACCCCGAGAGGGCCTGGAAACACAACCTGAGAACAGAGGATCTGGTCTCAGTCGTGGCCTGCCGGCCACACCTACAACTTAAGTGGCCTTTCCATTTCCTCAGGCCCCCTCCTCAGGCCTTCTCCTCAGGGCCCCTCCTCAGGCCCCCTCCTCAGGCCCCCTCCTCAGGCCCCTTCCTCAGGCCCCCTCCTCAGGCCTTCTCCTCAGGCCCC